ACCGGGTGTGAGAAAGGGCGTGAGGAGAGTAAAGTGTGAGGAGGAGAGAGCTCAGGGATGAGCTGTGGTGGACTGGTACCGCCGTGTGCTGCTGAGGGAGGAGGTAGGAGAGTTGAGAGGGGGAAAAAGGTGGAGGGGGAAGAAGGTGGTTTAGTTTCTTTGTTTCTCACCATCCAACTCTTATTTTAATTGGCAATAAATTACATTAGTTTTCCCAAGTTGAGCCCATTTTGCCAATGACGGTAATTGGTTAGTGATCTCCTTATCTTTATGTTGGCCCACGAGCTTTTTCTGCGTGTTTTCTCCTCAAGTCCTGCTGAGGAGGGGGCTGAGGGAGCAGCTGGGTGGGAGTCTGGGAGCCAGCCAGGGGAACCCACCATATGCACAAATAAAACTCTCATTTTGGTATTTTCCTCTGAAATACAAGGCAATAGAGCCTTAAAAGAAAGAAAAAAAAAAAAAGCCCCAAAACTTGTATTTGTGGCAAACACATTTATTTTTCAGTCCTACAGAATCTGTTCTTAGCCGTGGTGGTGATGGATGGCCTGATCGTGCTGAACAGTTTCCCTATTAATCTGATGTTTGAAATGATGATGTTAATTGAGCTGAAATTCTTCCATGGATCCTAATCAAGACACAGAACTTCATGGACTACCTTTACTCAACAGCATGTTAACAGCTGATTTTAAGTAGGAGGGAAGGTTGAAATGAAATTTGTTATTTTCCTGTTGGTTTCTGAATAGAATCCAACCATATCTTAGAGAAGCAAAACAGCTTGAAAAGTAATGCTTTTAGAACTGAAAAATTCAACTCTGAATTCACCATGTCGCTTTTTGTCATAACTGCTGCTGTGGTTAGCACATCTTTCATTTAGCAGTGCCCCAGTGTGTCAAGCTTTGGTTTTGAGAGGAGAGTGATCTAGTCCTGTTGTGTGATTTCAGGTTTCTGCACTGAAGAGCAGATTGAAGAAAGTCTCTACAACCACTGGAGATGGTGTTGCGAGAGCATTTCTCAAAGCACAAGCATCTTTCTTTGGGAGCTACAGAAATGCCCTGAAAATTGAACCTGTAAGTAGGAACTTAGTAAGCGTAAGATGTAAATCCGCAGCTGTGGTGGGGAAGCTAACAAGAATTCATGTAGTATAGCCTGCTTTTACGAAGGTCAGCATTGTGGCTCTCTGGCTGAGTAGTACTAAAAACGCTGTTCCAGTTTCCAAACCAGAAAGAGGCATGATCAATCACGCAGGGAGAAAACTGCTATGGAGAGGTATGAGTGTTGCTTGGGTTTGAAGACAGTTAAGTTAGAAGAGAGATGATAAGAATGTGTAAATTAATAATCGTAGGAAGCTAGTGCAGAATTGACCATTTTCTCTCAGTGTGAAAAACCTGGGTATTCATTGTGTTATTTTAAAGGTAGTTAGATACTTTTTACACAATGTATGCTTAACTGTGAAACATGCAAATTTATGGAATCATGAAGTTTAGGAACATGAGTAGTAAAGAAATTATGCTTTTACAGAAATATGAAGACTGTCTGGAGTTGTAACTATTGATGATAACTGATCTGTTAGGAAAATTCAATCTCTTGGTTTTGGTTTGGAGCTGATCTCTATTTTGCAACAATTAAGTGCCATCTGAGAAGGGAAGGTTTTTTCTGTACTTCATCTTGGGTTTTATTGCTTCTAGTGAGGCATCTGTTCCTGGCTTACTGCAAGTAGCTTCATGGACTTCCATACAAATCAGTGCAGACAAATTAATGTATTTCCACATGTTTTGTGACACTGGTTTTGTCATCGTGTACTCTGGGGGTTCCTTTTAAAGTGTGTATATTTTGCTGATAGCCACTTAGAGACTGGGTCAATAGTATGAGGAATATTCAGGTGTAAGTCAAAAGACATGTCCCATACATATGGGGGATGAAAAGTACTAACTGCAGAGCAATCCAAAAATACTTCCAAAATATTCCATTATCCCTATTCCTGAAGCAGGGGAACTAGTGTGTGCACCCCAGATGCTCATTTGAAGTACTGCTGTTGAAGACCTAAGGCTGCTTAACAGGAAGATCTCTGCCAAGGACAAAACATACCTTTGTCTTTATACATTCTCTCATCTGCAAGCACTGGGAGGCAGAATGGAACATTGCTGGTAGCAATGGGGAGTTTGAATACCCCTGGGAGAAGCTGAGTTCTGAGAGTAAGGGGGGAGGCTAAGTGAGTGGAGTGAGAATGAAGGCTTACTAGTTGAGAAGAGGTGTTGTATTTTGCGTTCTCCTGCTCTGTGAAGATTAATGAAGAGATCTGCATGCAGGCAAGTAATATATCTAATTTTAATCATGGTGTTATAGGAATAAAACCAGATGGACTACAGGCATAGTGTTGAGGTTGAAGATGTTTCAGTAACTGGAGTCTTTGGTACTATAGTTTGTGGTGGTGTTTTTACAGCTAGAAGGAAAAAATAGCTTAGTCTGAATTTTAAACAGTTATCTCCATGAAATAAGCATCATTCCAGCAATTCATATTCAGGGTTCAGAAATGACTTTTGGAGTCAGCATGAGTCCTTCCATAGCTTACTGGGGGAATCCATGTGTTGTGTCTGTAGAAAAAATAAATTGTTTTGACTTGTCCGTGATTGTCTGGGTCTAAGTACTGGGCTTTTAAAGCATCTAAGGTGAAATAATGGGAGGTGTTTAAACTGTTGTGCATATAAAGAACAAAAATGAAACCAGCAAGGCACTCTGGCTGTAAGCCTGCTTTATCTGTGCTGGGGAGATACTGACTTCCCTTCATCCATGCAGGCTTCCTTGTTCTCTGATGCTCCTCCCACTAGTTGCCAGGCAACTCTGGGAATATTGGTGTGTGCTTTGCCTGGATGTGTGTGTGAGATTAACTAGTTAAGGGATTTGTGAAGAAAAATAAAAATTTAAATTGCTTTTCTGGAAATACCATCTGGTATTTTGAAGGCTGAATGTTAAAGATGAACATTCTGAATCAGTTGACAATGGCACACCCCTGGAAAGTGCGATCTTGAGGGACAGCAATCCTGAGGAAGTGAAGGAAATTGTTTGGTTTGCTTATCATTCCATCAAAGAAAACTTGTAAACATAATTGCACAAATATGTCATAAAATCCAATTTTAATAATCAGAAAGCGGAAATTTTCAGGGTTTCTTTGCCAAGTCCTTCTATAAATGAAATTAATTCAATTTCTGATTATACATTTCCATATTAAGATTTATATAATGAAAATTTGCGAGTGTTTCATGTGCTGAACATGTCAGAGTGAAATGACCTGCATTCTGTTTCCGGTTTTGCTACAGACATCCTGTGAGGTATTGAACAGGTCATACAACTACTTTATACCTCACTTCCAGTTTAGAATATGCCAACAATAAATGCAATTACCAGCAGACTCTTGTTAGTATTAGGAACATCACACTTAAAAGTTAGTCTAATACCCTTGGAAAACCTGATCTTAAGAAGATGCAGCAAAACTCCAAACAGTAGTGTGTAATGAGTAAAACAGTTAGGAAACGTATTGCTAACTTCAGAAAAGAAAATGGGATTGTAATTTAATAACAAAAGTGTTGTAACTGGCAATTAGTAAAGGCATCTTGTAATTTAAAGCCCTGTGTTTCTCTGCTGTGCTGCACTTCAAATGCTGCACTTGAAATAGCCTTGTGTACTCTCATGCAATTCCGTCTTCTATACATCAATTCTGTTCATTGTTATTTCCTGTCAGCTGATGAGCTCAGTTTGTTGGGTTTGTGGATCACACACCAACAGGTACTCAGAGTGGTCATGATACACATCTTCTCTTATGGATACAGAGTGATGGGAGTTCTTGTTGAATAGTGGAAGAATATTAAAGTGTATGCAGCAGCTCTTTGATTGCTCTTCACTGATGTATCAGAATCCACAGCCCACAGTGGCTGTCATAATTTGCTTCAAAATTTTAATGTCTGTTTGGGAGAAAATATTTTGAAACTGCTGCTGGTGTAACATTTGCAAATAAACTCATTTCAGTGTGTCCAAGACAAACAGAAAAGCAAATGGAAGGAATAGCTTCTAAGAAAAGAACTTATTTCCAAATACTTCCATTGTGATTTTTCTCTTACCACCTTCACATGTTGTAAAAATGAGGCATAAGCAACACTAAACATGATGTGGTTCTTCGCATTTGATGTCCCATAATTTGAAAAATCTGTTCATTTAAAATCATTTATAATTAGGAAATTCAAAGAAGCAGCAGCTTTTCCTCCTTTCATACTTTTTGTCACGTAAGACAATCTAATTTCATAGTCTATCTCATCTAGTACGAGTTGGCTTTTTGGGATAAGTGGTGTGAAACTATTTTTCATTATTCTCTGTAGGCTCAGAATGTGTCACAGAGCAGACTTTAAATTCACATTTTACTTCAGCATAGTAAGAGCTCCTACTCTGTTCAGAAGCTTTTATTCTAAAGATACAAATTTATTTTATATGTAGATGAACCAGTAAACCAACAATGCATGAGTTAGTCTTGCCATGAACTTTGAGGCCTTCAGAAACTAGAACTTTTGCCTCTAACAACATATCCCAGTACTACAATTTGCAAGTCTAATCGTAAGATTTAGGTAACGAGGTTCAGTTATGTTTCCTACTGTGTGTTTCTTTTCTGTAGTTGCGTTAAAGCCAGATTTTAAGTATGAAGAGTATCTGTTACCTGTGATGTATTCACAGTCTCCACAGTCCTATGTTGTTAGTAAGTGCAGTAAAACATGTTAGAAGCAGTGTGTTTACTTGGCTGTACTGAAGCTGATTGTTATCTTTATGAATACTACTTAAATTTCTAACAGTGACACTAGTGTGAGCATTTTGTTCACTTGAATGACTTTTTCCTTAATTTCTGGGTTTTGCTGTCTGCAGAAGGAATGTTTTTATCTTCTAAATATTTAATTCACACAAATAGGTCATCTTCAACAGAAATAGCTGTTTAATTACTGTGTGTGTAAAGGTGGTTTGTGGTACTTAATAGTTGTGTATATATTGGTAACGGGGGAAATGAGACTCAAGTTTCCTGCACCGAAGACATTGGCTGTCCACTTTCTTTTGCTGACACCTAGTGGTTGGAGACAACATTTTATCGGCGGTTTTTAAGAACAATCTTTGTTAAGAAAGAAACATCCTAACACCTGTGAGTAAAGGTAGACTCAGGGTGTATGCTGACCGAATGCAGTGGCATGCAGGAGAAGATACAACAGGTTGTATGGTGGGGGTACGTCTGGTGCTGGTACAGCTAGGCTAAGCCATGTGGGTGCATTTTCACCAAGCTGGGGTATGGTTTAACAGCAGGCTCCAAATTTGATGTACAGTCTTCTCAAACAATAAGTTTTCTGCCTGTTCTCTGGGTGTGCGGTCACTCCAGTGAGCTTTGCAGAGGGAACTGTGTGTACTTAATACAACACTTTCCAGCTTGACAGATTTGAAAAGCTGGTGTACTTGCACTTACCTTAAAAATCTGTAGATTCTGAACAGATATTTCTATTTCCATGTTTTGGTTCCTTTTGTCTGTATTTCATTGCTATAAGTACAACATAAGGTGAAAATTCCTGTGCTTACTTTTCTTTTGCAGTGCTCTTGGTTTTTGTACAGATAGTTAAGGGGGAGTAATTTTAACATTCTTAACCAGAAAAGAGCTGTCAGTATCTGAGTGCCTCTGCAGGTAGTTTTCTCTGAAACTTTACTGGGTTGCCTTGATAACTTATTGTATGCTGGCACTGTTAAATTTGGTGTCCCTTTCACACCACAGGATACGTGGTGTACTGAGGTGAGAGGTATATATACTGCAATGTGAGCAGAAGGAGCCCGTTTTATTTCTAATACACCACTGAAGAGACATGTCTGCGCATGAGATTCTGGCATTTGTTTGGATTTGAATCAAGATGTCCTAGTTTGTTTTTAAAAGGGTGAATTAGTTACATGAGTTTATTAATCTAGGTATGAGGGTGATGAACTCTGCATTCTTTTTAAGATGGTTTCTTGCGTGTGTTGTCATATTAACTAGATCTAGACCTTTCATTTATAAAATCCA